CCCCCCCCCAGGGGGGATGGCCACGCCGCAACCCCTTCTCCTCCATTCTCCTCTTGGGATCTTGGGCATGCATGCACATGTGCCCAGCGTGAGTTTAAGCCACCAGGTCCGGGACTCGAACTGCGGTCAACTACACGGAAGTTCAGTGACATAGCCCTTACGCTAACTGCCGGTCCCCTTATGGCTTTTTTTCTAGTGACCCTTTCCCTGATCTGTGAACGAAATGAGAGCAACTTTAGGGGGCACTGTTCTTTTTATTAATATTTTGTAAGCAAATGGTATGTAAGGAAACAGCTTCGTCCACAGCTTTCACTGATTACTCTGACTAGAGTTTCTAACTGCTAGTCTGGCGGGAGAATCTGGTGCCAACAGAAGATGATGGGTTACTGCCAGTTGTAATAACCTAGAGCAAGAGTTCTTATATTTTATGGGATGTGCGGTCTTTTAATTCTAGTGCAAATAGTAATCCTACCTTCCAGGTGCTCAACACACAAAATTTCATATGCAGTGTTTAGGGGTTCAGAGTCCTTCTTGAAGCATACCAAGTTTGGGTTAATGAACTACATATAGGGGCTGTGACCCAACTTCACCTCTCCTCTTAGCATTGAATCATTGTCACAGAGATACATGTCATTGCTAGTTCCCTCTCCAGGTCAGGGGCCCACCTATTCTCATCCTCAGAGCCCTGGAATCTTCTTTATGCTCAGATTGCCTCCTCTGTGCAGGTGGAGCGCATTGAGAAGAGATGTCTGGAGCTGTTTGGCCGGGACTACTGTTTCAGTGTGATTCCAAACGTGAATGGGGATATCTGCGGCCACTACCCCCGGCACATTGTGTTCCTGGAGTATGAGAGTTCTGAGAAGGAGAAAGACACGTGAGTATCATGTGACCACAGTGTGCATGTCTTGGGAGGCTCTGGCAGCTCACCCTCAGGGCCGGCATTCTGCAGCTTGGCAGGAAAGGCTCACTTTCCCCAGGTGTTAAGCCTTACTGGCATCTCTGTTTAGTTCAGGGTGTGGTAAGTGAGACTGGCAAGGCGGCATGGCATTGAATGAGTCACAGCCCTGGATTTCTCTTCTAGCCCACCCTGAAGCGCATTGTCCTAGGACAGTGGACTTTGTATTTCACTTCTCTGAAGCTCAGTGTCCTTTCTTTAGAGAGGATCAGGACGTGTTTCAGGGTGTTAGTAGCACATAGGAGCCTAAGGTCAGAGTTTGGCTGCTCGAGTTTACATGCTGGGTGCCTTACTTGCTGACTGTGGAACTAACCCTGAGCAGGTGATTTATCCTCCTTGTCCTTAGTTTTCTCATTGGTGATTCTCTATCTCATGTTATTAGTCTTTGTATTTTTTTTCTACACCTGTCTCTAGTTCATTATGGAAAAGGTGAAAACACCACCTTCCTCACAACAGCAACCAGTAAAATTTATCCCAGAAATAACTTGACAAAACAGGTTAGTTTCAGAATTAAAATAATAATTATAATAATAATAAGATAAAAGCCAGAAACAAAAACCCTCTATGTGATTTTTTTTTTTTTTGAGAACTTTTTGCTGTAGGGCTCCTGTGCTTGCCAGAAAAACAGAGAGACAGAAAGCAAGAAATCACCCCCCCAGGGGGGATGACCACACCACAATCCCTTCTCCTCCAGTCTCCTCTCGGGATCTTGGGCATGCATGCACACGCGCCCAGCGTGAGTTTAAGCCCCCAGGTCCGGACTCGAACCACGGTCGATTACAAGAGTCCAGCAACATAGCCATTACGCTAACTGCCGGTCCCTCTACCTGAATTTTTTTTTTTTTTGGAGAGGTTTTTTTGCTATAGGGCGCAAGTGCTCGCCAGACAGACAGAGAGAGACAGAAAGCGAGAAATCACCCCCCAGGAGGGATGGCCACGACACAATCCCTTCTCCTCCATTCTCCTCTCAGGATCTTGGGCACGCACGCACACGTGCCCAGCGTGAGTTCCGATATGAGTTTTAAGCCACTGGGTCCGGGACGCGAACTGTGGTCGACTACGTGGGAGTCCAGCGACATAGCCATTACACTAACTGCTGGTCCCTCTACCTGAATTTTTAAATCCTATTTTAAGACTTAAAAGAAACCAGCCCACCACTGGTACACAGCCCAGGCACTGCTCTGCTGTGGGGCAAGACGAGCTGTCCGTCTGTCCATCCACATCTGTTCTGTTTGGGTGTGCTGGTCTGTTGAAATGGTGTCTGTACTGGCGTTGCAGGTGTCCAGCTGGGCAGCCAATTCTTAGCAGTGAGGGGCTAATTAAAATCCCAGGAGCATGGTTAGTGCAGTCCCTGGTGATAAGCAGGGCTGGTACAAGCCTGGTGCATTTCTTGTAAGTTAGGAAAGAGCCTCCCAAGGACCCAGTGCCGTGGGTGGGTTTATCAGGGCAGACACAAAGCTCCTGGTACAGGGTTCGGCCTGTAGTAATAAATGGTAGTGGGACAGCCAGTTGGCATAATGTCTATGTCACTGGACTCCCATGTAGTCAACCACAGTTTGAGTCCCTGACCCGGTGGCTTAAATTCACGCCAGGCGCGAATGCGTGTGTGTCCAAGATCCCAAGAGGAGAATAGAGGAGAAGGGATTGTAACGTGGCCATCCCCCCTGGGGGGTGATTTCTGCTTTCTGCCTCTGTCTCTTTCTGTCTTTCTGGCGAGTGCATGTGCCCTATAGCAAAAAACTCTCCAAAAAAATAAAAAGTTATGAATGGTAGCAGTTGTTGGACTCTAGTAACTAGTCACAGCATTGAGGCTCCTGGAACTGCTTTATGTTGGTATCAAAGTTTGTTTCCTAATCTCCCTACCTGTTGCTGACTTCAAGGGAATGCCAGGAGCTGTTGTCAAGAATACCTGTGAAATCCTGTCTTTGGAGGAAATGCTGTAGGAATGCAACCATGCAGGCATGCTGCCAAGTGCAGCAGGCCCTTGCTCCTCAGAGCACAGCCCTCAGTGCACCCAGGAACTTGTCAGGTTCAGGTGCCAGACCCACAGCATTGCAGGGTGCTCAGGTGATTGGATGCATGTTGAGGTTCAAGAAGTGCTGCTATAGGCAGACTGGGGAGATCAGTCCATTCCACCTGGTGTTGGAGTGTCTGGGAAGACCTCATGGTGGAGAGGTAGAATTGGAACAATGAGGAATTTTCTGGTATTTCCTTAGGGGCCAACTTGTGTAGAGTCTTGATTATGAGGCCTGGGAATGTGAACTTGTGGATTGTGTGTGGATATTATTACGCCAGCATCCCCTGAGCTCTCATTAATATTACAGATTCTTGTCTTCTTACAGGCCTTCTAAATCAAGATTCCCAGAGTCTGTGTTCTCGGAGAGCTCCCTAGATGTCTTTCTTTTAAAAAAAAAAAAAAATGTGTGTGTGTGTGTGTGTGTGTGTACACAGATAGAGAGAGAGAGGTTTTTGCCTCAGGGTGCATGCACTTGCCAGAGAGAGAGACAGTGAGAAAGAAAGTGAGAAATCATCCTGCAGGAGGAATGGCCACGCCACAATCCCTTTTCCTCCAGGGATCTTGGACATGCACACACACGTGCCCAGTGTGATTTTCACATTTTCAAGCCACCTGGTCTAGTTCTCAAACTGCGCTTGGCCATGTGGGAGTCCAGCGATTAACTGCTACGCAGTCTGTTGTCCCCTCCCTGTCTTACCTACACTGTAGTGTGATACCACCCGAGAACTTCTGCCACAGGCCGTGAGCAGTCAGTGAAGGCTTCCAAGCAGGAACTATCAGGTTGGAGGAGTTTAAGGAGTAGGCCTTAGTTTCCACATCTGTAAAGTGAGGATGTCTGTGTGAGTGCCATCTGAGATCGTGGTGGGATTTCTTTAAGAAAATTAATGTATTAAGGATGCTTGTATGTAGCTTATAAAAATCATATCACATCCTCTAAGAACTCTGGGAATCTCTAAGCCTAAAAAACTAGGCTTTTTGGAGAGTTTTTTGCTGTAGGACACGTGTGCTTGCCAGAGAGACAGAAAGCGAGAAATCACTCCCCGGGGGGATAGCCACGCCACAGTCCCTTCTCCTCCATTCTCCTCTTGGGATCTTGGGCACGCACGCACCCACACCTGGCATGAATTTAAGCCACCAGATCTGAGACTCGAACCACAGTCTACTATATGGGAGTCCAGCGACATAGCCATTACTCCATCTGCTGGTCCCAAAACTAGGCTTTTTTATGGCCTTTGCCCCATTATTTGTGGTTCTTACCTCTTTCAGAGTTAGGAAAGAGTTTTATAAAATAAAGTTTTCTATCTTTTTTTTTTAAGAGTTTTGTTTTGTTTTGTTTTGTTTTGCCTTAGGGCGTGTGCTCTCACCAGAGAGAGACAGACAGAGATGGTAAGAGGGCAAGTGAGAAATCATCCCCCAGGGTGTATGGCCATACTGTAATCTCTTTTCCTCCATTCTCCTTCTAGGGTCTTGGGCACACATGCACACCTGCCCAGCACTAACTAGCCAGACTGCATTAACCATGCATTTCAAGCCACCAGGCCCAAGCTCAAACCATGCTGGCCGTGTGTGAGTCCAGTGGTGTAACTGCTATGCCATCTGCTGACCGTCTCCATTTTTTTTGACTGGGTCTCTGTGTCTCTGTCTTCTTGTCTCAGCCTCGCAGCTGGAACCACAAGGCAGGTGCCATCACACCTGGCTCTTTTATTAGATAGGGTCTCACTGTGTGCCAAGCCAGCCTTAAGTTTGCGATGCTCCTGCCCTAGCCTCTCAAGTCTCTGAGATTACAGGTGCGTGCCATCACATCTTAGCTTGGACCAGGAATTGAACCCAGGCCTGCCACATAGTCCCAGCCTGTAGAGTACAGTGTCTTAGCAGTGAGCACTACCATGACTGAACCCATTCACTAAACCTTTCTGTTCCCCTCTTTCCATTTCTTCTGTACCAGATGGTGATTTTACCTCTGCCCCAATGGCATTCTGGTATTAAGCTCAGAGGTAGTCAAAGTAGTTCTCCTCCACTTTGACTTTGGGTGTGAATCACAGGAATCTTGTTCCGATGCTGAATCTCATTCATTACATCTGAAGGGGGCCTAAGATTCGGCGTTTTCTAGACAGTTCCAGGAAATGCCAAACCTGTTAGTAACAGTACACTGGGGACTTGACATAAGCTTTTCCTGGAAGGAAACAAGTTCCTGATTCAATCTTTTTTTTTTTTTTGAGAGATTTTTGCTATACGATGCATGCGCGCGCCAGACAGACAGAGAAAGACGGAGAGATAGAAAGCGAGAAATCACCCCTCAGGGGGGATGGCCACACCACAATCCCTTCTCCTCCGTTCTCCTCTCGGGATCTTGGGCATGCACATACACACGCCCGGCCTGAGTTTAAGCCACCGGGTCCGGAACTCGAACCACGGTTGACTACGTGGAAGTCCAGCGATATAGCCATTACACTAACTGCTGGTCCCCTCTCCTGATTCAATCTTAAGGAGGAAGAAGCTAATATTTGCTGAGTGCCTGCCGTTTGGCAGGTGTTAGGGTTTTACACACCCTGACTTGACTACAGCCATCCAGTAAAGAAGACAGCATCAGCCTATTTTATAGACAAGGACGTTACAGAGAAGGGGTTTGCCCTTGCCCAGGATCACTAAGGTAGCCAGTGGAGGGCGGCTAAAAGCCAGGCTTCTTGACTTGACTCTCTCTTCCTGTCTGCCTCTTCTTCCTCTCATCTCCATGACTCTCGCATGTCTAGTGGGGCCTCACTTCCAAGTCAGGCCTCCTGTGGAGCATCCTAGACCCTGGAAAAGAACTGGCGTTATTTTTCATCGTCCACTTCTCGCAATATCATGAGGTGATACTGAGTGGGTGATGCCGCTTCGTTGAGGGGAAGAGAATTCGACTGGG